TATGTAATCAAGTTTTTAGGAGCCGAAGGATATAAATGTAACCCATGATCAATGGTACCCTGAATGTATCGCAGAATTCGCTTCAATGCATCATAATGAGCCACTCTGGGATCATGCATGAATAAACAGACCTACTGAACTGCATAAGTTATATCAGGGCGAGTAAAAGTGAGGTACTGTAAGGCACCTGCAAGACTGCGATAGAGTGTTGGATCATGAAACTGGGGTCCAACATCTGCACTTAGTTTGGATTGAGTATCCACTGGAGTTTGTGCAGGTTTGCAACTGCTCATACCTGCACGTTCAAGAATTTCCTGTGCATATTTTTGCTGTGACAGAAACAAATATGAAGGTGTACGTGTAACAGCAATACCCAAAAAATAATTCAAAGGACCTAAGTCAGTCATCGGAAACCCGTTTCGTAGATGAGAAATAATATTCTCACGTAGTTTATCTGAGGAAGTAACCAACACAATATCGTCAACATATAGCAACAAATATGTCATATCATTCCCATGCCGGAAGATGAATAAAGAATTCTCCATTTTAGCAATGACAAACCCCATCTGCAAAAGATAGTTAGAAAAACGCTGGTACCAAGCCCTTGGAGCTTGTTTGAGGCCATATAGAGCTTTGCGAAGTCTGCAAACATATCCTGGAAATCTCTTATCAACAAACCCAGGGGGTTGATGCATATACACACACTCATTCAATTCACCATGCGAAAAAGCATTTTTCACATCAAGTTGGTGAATAGACCACTTACGAGCCATAGCCAAGCTCAACACCGTTCGAATAGTGACCGGCTTAACAGCCGGACTAAACGTTTCATCACAGTCAACACCTTCAATTTGAGACCTGCCATCACAAACTAAACGAGCTTTGTGTCTTTCAAGATCACCATTAGCTTTTAATTTATGACGAAATAACCACATACAATTAACAATGTTCACCCCCGTAGGCCTTGGAACCAAATCCCATGTCCCTGTTTCAATTAAAGCACTATATTCATCACGCATCGCAGCATTCCAATTTGGGTCGGAAAGGGCTTGTTTGTGATTTTTAGGAAGTGGAGATCGAATGGTGGTAGATAAGCCATATTTGGAATTGGGTTTAATTATTCCGTGCTTAGACCTTGTTTGCATTTGAGGTGAAAGAGGCGGAGGAGTAGTCGGAATAATAGGTGTGTGGCCTCGAAGAGGTGGAGGTGTGTATGGGCGTGATGTGGGTGTTGGAGTGATTGGGTCAGTTGGTGAAATAAGGGTGTTGGGCTGATTTGAGTGAGGTGGGCTAGGAGGTGAGTGTGGGGCAGAAATGGGCTGTTGGGCCGCTGGATTTCCAGAGTGTGCTGGATGACTGGGGCTGCCCAGTTGGGTTGCTGGCTGGCCCGCTGGATTTCCAGCGTGTACTGGGTTTTGGAGGAGAGGCAGAGTGGACTGCAGCCCACTTGCGGTATGTGGGGTTGTGCCGCAGCCCAATTGCAATGTGGGCTGTGTACGGGGTTTGTGATGTAAATGTTGCAACAATGGTGATGGATCATCAGAAGCTAGAAAATCATAATCATGAGATTGAAAACTATAAATATTTGTAAAAGGAAATGTGTTTTCATCAAAAGTGACGTGGAGAGAGATTATAATTTTTCTAGTAGTAATATCCATACACCTATATCCCCTATGGTCAGAAGGATAGCCTAAAAAGACACATGGGTGGATCGAGGGGCAAGCTTATGAGGCATGGTTGCCGATAAATTTGGGAAACAAACACACCCAAAAACTCTAAGATGGCTATAAGACGGAACAACCCCAAATAAAGCTTGAGACGGAGTAATGTGATTGAGAGTTTTGGTAGGTAGAATATTTAATAGATAAGTAGATGTCTCCAAGGCATAATGCCAAAAAGAAGGAGGAAGAGAGGCATGAAACAATAATGTACGCTTAACATTGTTAAGAGTTCGAATCATGCGCTCGGCTTTGCCATTTTGAGAAGAAGTGTGAGGTCATGAGAAGCGAAAAACCATTCCATTTTTGACACAAAATAATTTGAACGGTTCGTTATCAAATTCACGACCATGATCACTTTGAAAGGATTTTATAGGGCGTTCAAATTGAGTTAGAACATATTGTCGAAAATTAAGAAAGGTTTGATAGGCTTGAGACTTATACATAAGAGGAATGGTCCACACATAATGAGTAAAATCATCCAAAAGCACTAAATAATATTTGTGACCCTTTTCACTACGGATAGGAGAAGTCCACAAATCAGCATGAATAATATCAAAAGGAGAAATAGTAGTGCTATTGGAATTATAAAACGGCAAATGAGTATGTTTTCCTAATTGACAACCTACGCAAAAAGTGGAGTGAAGCTCCTGATTACAATCAATCAAATTTTTACTCCTAAGAAAGTTAAAAGATGGTGCCCCGGGATGTCCTAAGCGGTTGTGCCATGTGGTTGGAGACAAAGCTGTGAGAGAGGTGGCTAGACAAGCTGATGGTGATGTGGTCACTGGATAAAGGTCCCCGGTACTATTGCATCTGGTTATTAGTTTCCCCGTTCGAACTCAATAGACACGGAATTATCAGAAGTAAATTTTCTAACATAAATTAAATTTTTGATAATTTGGGGAGTTAAATAAACATCACGTAAGGTAAGAGATTTATTTGCAATATTAGAGTGACCATAACCCGTTATTGGAATGCGTTGACCGTTACCCACTTGAATATAATTAGAAGTGCTTAAATTAAATAGGGGTAAGAGATTACCGGCATTGTTTGTCATATGAGACGAGGCTCCGGAATCCATGTACCAAGATGGATCATAGTTTTGAAATCCCATCGTTGCAAACGCATTGCCTAGCTCTGTCGGTGTCATGGTTGGGCCATACTCCGAGTTTGAATTAGCATAACCGGGTTGTGACTGCTGTGGTGGCCCAGAATAATAGGCTTGTTGTTGAGGTTGTTGCTGCTGCATTGGATTAGCAGGATGCGGCCCAGCCCACTGCTGAGGATGTGGGTACGATGGCTGACCCCATTGAGGGGGGGCTTGCTGGGCCTGATTTTGTGGGTCGGCCCACTGCTGAGGGGCGCCCCATTGAGGAGCAGCTTGTTGTTGCTGTTGATATTGTTGTTGTTGCTGTGGTGTCCCTCGACCTCGACCTCGACCTCTGCCTCTCCCCTTGCCACGGCCCCTGCCACGACCAGGTGGTGCGCCACCACGGCCAGCCGACTGCTGCTGCTGGGATGTCGACTGGGCAGGAGTTCCGGACTGGGTTGGTGCTCCGGTTTGTGCTACAAAAGAAGAAGCCGGAGTACTTGTGTCGTTTGCTTTACGAGATTCTTCGAGCAAAAGACGGGATCTGGCAGTTTCAAAAGAAGGCAGGGGTTCCGTCTGTTGAATCATTGCAGCCACTGTATCGAAGTCGGTATTGGTAAGTCCCGAGACCAAGCGAATCACCATTTTTTGCTCCGACACCGGTTGATCAACATTGGCCAATTGATCTTTTAAATTCTTCAATTCACGGCAATATGAAGAAATATCTGAAAAATTGGAGAGATGCAAGGCGTTGAATTGATTTTCAAGATATACGGCTCTAGTAGTTTTATTGTCTTGAAAAATTGCCTTGAGTTTATCCCAAATTTGTTGATCCGTAGCCCCTTTTTCTATAACCATTTCAAGTAAATCCTTAGATATTGTGCCATATATCCAGTTCTTGACAATAGAGTCAAGGCGTTTCCACATGTTATCTGATAAATATGTCGGTTTAGGTGTTTTAGAGTCAATGTGATCAAGAACATCGTATGCGTGGGCATGACACTCAAATAACTCAACCCAATTAGAGTAATGGACTTTCTCTCGATCAAGAATAAGAGGGAAAACGTTTTTGATATTGTTTACACCTAAAGCTGGATGATAGTCAGAAGAAGAAGAAGTGGAACTCTCGTCATCTTTGCCCATGATGGCAGCAAGAAAGTAGGTACACCAATGAAATTACAAAGAAAAGAATTGGGAGCAAAGTATGAATTGATTAATAAATCAATTAAGGTAGTGGAAAGAAGACAGATGCACCAAGGTTAGACTTGTCGTGGGAAGAAGACAAAGAAGACAGGGATGGCAGCTAAAAAATAAAAATTTGCGGAAACTGGATCGAAACCTAAAGCTGTGATACCATGTTAGATAATATGAAACTCCTCAGCTTGGAGTCGATTCCATTGATCTCAATATATAGGGTTACAAGTGTGAGTCCTAATCACGTTAGGAAATCTCAAAAGATAATTACACAAAATATACAAAATATATCCAACGATAACAGAATATCTAGAATAATAATCCTATATTCGATCATGAATAATTGGGTCAGGTGTCGTGACACACGCTTCGCATTTAAATTTTAAAGAATTCAAATACTCTGTAAGTGATGATGCATTATTGTACAAACGAAGTATATATCTAGTTATCTATTTATCTATCTTAGTTTCCAAAACTCTCCGTTGTGAAAATTATAACTTCTATTTTATAGTGTGATATTTTTTGTTAGTCTCATATTCCATAAATTATCTGATGCTCTAAGAATAATACAACTTGCAACTTTTTCATGCCTCAGCTCTTCTCATCTCACATTTTTAGCTACCTAAACAACTAATTAGCTCTATTATTAATCTTAATAATCTACCATAAGGTTGTAAATGTCAACTATCGGTCAATTTCATTTACAGTTTTTTCACATTTCAGCTAACTTTGTCTTAAATTGCTTTTCCATGTATCCTTGGCTACCAACATAAGTCTTTGTCTAAGTATTTGAATATTAATTCTGCATGTTTACTTTTTTTTTTAATTTTCTATTATTTTGTAGCAAAAACTATTATAAGTATATTATATGACTTTCCAAAAAGTTTTATTGACATGGATTTAAATGTAAGATCATATATATACAATGTGTCAACATTCTAAACATTTTTTTTTCAGCTAGCTAATACCTTATCAAAAACTTTTGTATACAATCGATGTACAGTAATATAACTGTACATCGAGGTATCTATTATTGAAATTAGGGTAACTTTTAGATTATTTTTTGGATAACTTTTATCAAGCATAAATAATTTTTATTTATATCAAGCTAACTTATATATATAATGTAACTTTCGTTCATTTAAATTTAAATAAACAGAAGGGCTTGTTCAAAGGTTTGCGTATTTCTCGCCATGCTCCTTCGGTTTCTCATCTTTTCTTTGCGGATGATGCATTACTGTTTTTTCAAGTCTATCCGACGGCTTGTGAAAACATTCTGTCGGTCACACATGAGTTCTGTTCGGTTTCGGGGCAGATGATCAATTTACAGAAGTCTTTTGTTAGGTTTATTTCTAATACGCCGGAAGATTATCGGGACTATTTATCTTCAACCCTAAGGATGAAATCATGCTCGTCGGTTGGTACATACTTGGGTCTTCCGGTTGATTTAGGTCGCAGCAAGTGCAAGGAATTTCAATTTATGGTGGATAAAGTGATTAAGCGCCTGTCTTCTTTTGCTTCTCTTTCCTTATCTCCGGCGGCGAAGTTGGTTATTATTAATTCCATTATGGTGGCTACTTTCAATCATGTTCTTGCTGTCTTCAAAGTTCCTTCGACTATTTGTGACCGTATAGACTCCTTGTTGTCCCGGTTTTAGTGGAGTTCTGGTAAGAAGTCCAGAGGATTATCCTTAACCCCGGCTTCGGTTTTACACCTTCCCAAAGGAATGGGGGGTTTGGGTATTCGTCAATTGCGTTCTTTTAATTTGGCTCTGTTGGCCAAACAAGCTTGGAGGCTTATTCAAAATTCACAATTGCTGGCTTCCCGTGTTCTCAAAGCTAAGTATCCTGGCCTTCTTTCTTTTAATCCTTCTTTTACTTCTAACAGACCTTCATGGGGTAGTCGTGGGTTACTAGAAGGGGGTGGTGTTCTTTCTTCAAGTGTTGCTTGGAAAGTTGGTTCAGGTTCTACAGTGAATATTATTAATGATAGTTGCCTTCCACATACTAACATTATCTTTAAGGATTCTATTCCAGAGGCCGACTGACCTTCTTTGGTATCTGAATTGATGATTTCAGATTCATGTGCGTGGGATACCTCTCTGGTTAGGCATCTTTTTCCTGAATCGGTGGCTTCTAAAATCCTTGGTTTGGATCGCCCAAGTCAGAAGTTTGACGATTATGTTTATTGGAAATTCACTCGGGATGGATCTTTCTCCACCAAGTCAGCTTATACTGCTTTACTTTCTCATAATTCTCCTATGGACCCTTCTTTTATTTCTTCTGCTTGGTGGAAATGTTTGTGGGGTTTGCCTATTCTTCCGAAATGGAAGTTGTTAGCTTGGAAAATTTTACATAATGCCCTGCCAACAGCATGACTACTTAGTCTCAAGGGTCTGCCAGTTGAGTCCTCTTGCTCCTTCTGCCGTTGCCATTTTGAATATGTGGATCACTTATTCCGGGATTGTTCTTTATCTCGTTTCTTGTGGGACTTCTTTCCTTGGGATACGGGCCCAACACCAGATACCTTGATGCCATTTTTTGATTGGTTTTCAGAGGTCATCTCAAACTTTGTAAAGTCCAAGAATTGGGAAGCTCTTGACCGTTTATTTGGTACATGTTGGGCTATCTGGTTGACTCGCAATAATATTAGATTTTGTTCGGCAGTTTATTCTCCCCAATCAGTGATAGACTTAGCTTTTGAATGGTGTTTCCGTAGCAAGAAGGCTCGTGAGATCATGGGACCTTCTTCCCTTTTGCTCCAGGTTTCGTGACCTCTTCTCGGACATGGATTCTTCGGGGTGATCCTCAAGCTACCTATGAGGTCGTGGTAGGTTTTGATGGTGCTTGGGATCCAGGGAACCATAATGCTGGAACTGGCTGGTTTTTTCAGGAACTCTATTCTTCCCAGGTTGTGGGAGGTGGTGCCCGTGCTAGTATGGCCACCTCTGCTCTGCATTCTAAATTGCTAGCTTGTCTCTATGGGCTTAGGCATGCTCGTCGTAGGGGTTTTATTCATGTCTGTCTTCTCACTGATTGTATGCGGATTCCTCAGTTACTCTTAGGTCTGGGTTCGACGGATATCTCGGTTGCTTGGATTCTACAGGAGATTCAAGATGTTTTATGCTCCTTCGTCAATTGTCAGATCCGCAAGGTCTCTCAGGTTTTAGTTGCGAAGGCACATTTTTTTGCTACAACTGCTCGACGACGGGATTTACTTTTTCATGTCTTTTAAGTTTTTTTTTAGTTAGTTTCCTTTGTCAAAAAAAAAAAAAAAAAAAAAAAAAAAAAAAAAAAAAACTTTAAGGTAACTTTCATTTTAAAAAAAAATAAAAAATGTTTGTCATACCTCTTATTACTACCGCAAAACTATTACTCCGTATTTTAAGTTACATATATTCATATAAGCAAAAAAAACTTGCCTACTGGTGATTTGTCTTCCGCACTCATATTGAAAGCCTAATTTACAACTTTAGACATCGTCAACAATAGACTAATCTTAAAATTATGAGATGGTCCAGAATTGTCATTTATGCTAATATGCAAGTTGAAAGTTATAGCCATAATATGGAATTATGAAGAGCAACTTTATATGTTGACATAATAACTTGTGGAGCAGTTAAAATTTTGAAATTGAATTGAGCCAAATGGCATTGTCGTGGCCCATGGTCCATGGACTTGAGGTTGTACAAATTCAACATAAATAAATGTAAGCTTCACAATCACTTTGATTATTGCGTTTATGAGTTAAAAAATATTTATAGTAGACTAGTGATACACTAATATACTACTATTCACATTATGTATATATTCTGTTATGAGTTACCGAGTACGGAGTATAAGTTTATGACATACGGAGTACACATACGTATTTTATAATAGACTAGTATGCAAATGTATATACTAATCAAAGATACTGGTGTAGCTGTGTAGTCGGTAGATTCAATCATATTTTAGCCTTGTTAAGGGCAATGGTGTTGCTCATATATAGGCTTGCTTTTGTTAGTAGTTAAGTAGGGCATGTTCACATTTATTTAATTTCAGCTCATTTCAGTTCAATTCAGCTCCAATCAGTTCAGTTCAGCTCAACTCTTAATTTCCCTCTTTCATAAAATATTCATTTCAATTCAGCTCCAATCAGTTCAGTTCAGTTCAGCTCCAATCAGTTCAGTTCAATTCAGTTCAGCTCAGTTCAGTAAATGCGAACACGCCCCTAGAAACTATGATTAGATGAGAGTGTGAATTGAGGAAGTCCCGACGTGTGTGTCAGATACTCTTGTATTTGACTCTTTAATTGATTAAATTGATACCTTGTTTTTCCGTCAAAAAAAAAAATGTTAACTTGAGTTAATAATAATATAGCGGCTTAGGTTACAATTTTGAAACTAGCCAACTATAATTTCAAAAATGTGAATAATCTAGGTTTCATTTTTACTAATTTCTATTTATATTGCTTCTTTATAGTTACAATTTTTACTGAACTAAAGTTATTTCGGAATTTTACTTTTTTTTTTTTAAATTTGACACAGAAATATTACTTTTTAAAAGTAAAGAGAAAATAGGGCTAAACTAACTAAACATTATTTTTTTTAAGGTAAAGAGAATACGACCAAACTAATTGGGTGAATTTAATAAACTGTTTCCGATATAGCCTAACTCATCATTGGTCCCACCTCTCCACGTCCTTAATCCTACAGATCAGCAATCAATCAAGAAATAATGGGGTTAAAGTGTTGGTTTGGAAACCCAAACCTCCAAATATCATGGAAATTAGGAGTCCCAAACCTCCCTATGTTATGGAATAAACATTAATTTAATTAGCAAACGTATGCTTGTTGAAAATATATTCCACCATCCGAAGTGGACTTATCCTAGTTTTTTAGGTACGAGTAATGGGAATGTGACTGCAAACGCGGCTATAATTAGACGTCGTTTAATGCTAAAAAAAAAAGTAAAACAATTTTGCATGCAAGTTTAGTCAAACTAGCGTTTTAATCCGTATTATTTTATTATTTTTTGAAAAAAATAAATAATAACAAAAGAGCGTTTTTTACAAAAAAAAAATGCGTGACTTTTCCCTTCATTATTTCTTGCAATATAAAATACGTAGTACTCCAATAAAATTGTATTATCCTGAATTCGTAAATCAGCATCTATCAGTTTGTATCAAAAAACAGTTGTCCGATTAGTATTATTGCTCAAGGTCAGAGAACAAAATATTATTAACATGTTAGAATTTGTCTTTCGATTGTATTTAATTTGCACGCGTTGAGTTATATTGGTTTAATTTGTTTTGCTTCCAAGGGCCAGGGAATCTCATCTTGTATCAATTAACGGTATAGTATGTAGTATAATACGTATCGATTTGTAAATTCGTATTAACTAATCATCTAATAATGAGATTTCGAACTTTTTAAAAGAAAAACAAACCAATGTGGAATTACAAGGATTAGAAGAGAAATTGATTGAGATTCTAACATCTGATAATTAGCTTGTCAATAATGCATGTAATGTAAATTATACGGAGTAAAAAATATATTTCAATGGAATTAAGGAGTTCAAATCAATATATTTTAAGTTCAACTTGAACATAATAAGAGTAGTCATATTTTCTATGTTCCATGCATGTATGCAAATTTATTAATATTATTATGTGTAGAAAGTATGACCAAAATCTTAAAAAAGTCTTTGATAAAAATTATGGCTTAAAAATGACGTGGACATAGACTATTGATTTTGAATAGTGGAAGTTGTCAATTGTAAACAATAAATCTAAGACTTCACTAGTGATCCATCCAAAAAGATAAAAAAAAAAAAAAAAACATATGTATATTTCCTATATACATTGTATCCAAATGAACAAGCTAATAAACTAATTAAAATGAAATAACAAAATTTAGCTAGCTAGATCAAGAGTTTACAATATACAGAGTAGAATGTGATGTTGATAGCTCGCTTTTACAAATTGAGGCAGTATTTTGAAAAAGAAAAAAAAAAGGTAAATAGATTATCTATACTTAATACTAATTATATAGCAGTGATGCATTATTAATCAATAAATATTTTGGCGTACTTATTTTAAAATCATATTCAAACTAACTAGTAGAGAAAATAATAAATTATCACTTCTAGCAATCTAACTTATACTCCATCCGTTCCTTTTTGTTTTTTACATTTCGATCATGTATTTTTCTCTTATAAAGAAATTTTCAAACCGTAATAAATTAAACAATAAGAAATAAAGGTAGATCGAAATTAAGATTTTTTTTTTAAAAAAGTTACAATTAAGGGTATGTGGGGGTACATTCAAACCTTAGCTCCACAATTGAGGGTTTAACAAATGTAACGAGCCAACAGCGATTAGTTGACATTGCGATTGATTATTTATGCAAAAGTAATATCACATTGTTCTTTTTCGTCACCTTTTTACGCGATTCATCATGCTTCATGATACATTGGTGCACCACTTTGTCTATACTCGTAATTGTTAATTGCCTACATGAGCTTAATCACTCGCCAATTCCATCATGATCGACTTGAAATTGTTTCATTGGTCTGCCACAAAATCTGTATCATGCTCATTTTCAGTACATTTTAAAAAGTCAATTCAATTATGTTTTTTTTTTTTTTTTATTTAAAAAAAAAAAACCTAGTTTCATAAAGTTTTAATTTACCTACTAAAATATAAACTATTGATAAGAGAATTTTAGCATGCTCTCTCTTGCATAATCATAATTAGTTACAGAGTTTTTTTTTTTTTTTTTTTGAAACAAATAAATTACAGAGTTAATTAAACATTGTTTAATGGTTATAATTCTGATTAGTACTAAGTGCAGATGCAGACATTTTAGTTAGCTTAGTTCTAAGCCAAATCTTCATTTCAATAACTCTCACACAATCAGCTGTAGGGCCATACCTGAATGTTAAATTAATTTCGTCCACTCAAAAAATATAAATTTGGTGTGGATAATAGATGGTCCAAAAATTGAATGAAAAGTTTAATTGGTTGCTCTTTAGTAATTATGCAACACCAATTATAAACGAGTTAGTTGTTAATTAGTAGAGATAAATCAGAAAAAGCTAAATATACGAAAATTCTCTCCCACACTAATTTTCAGGGAGAAAATAATCTTTTTATTAATTTTCATGATGAGGATGGACTAGGTAAACATTTAGACATAGACACTACTCCATCATTCTCGATTTTCAAAGTCAAGGACTTAGCCTTGCTTGTATACAATTTCTTCACATTAGACCCTTGCTCACTTAGCAATTTAAACAAGCTTCGTTTGGCGTTCGGTCTAAACGGGCAATTCGATGCCAAGAAACCATCTACCAAGTGCAAGTAAGCTTCCAGATCATGGCAGCATGCCACGTCAGCATCCGGTCTCAAATAAGGTGACATTCTAGTATCAACTCTAAGTTCTGTACCAACATGAGAGTATGCTAATGGCATTTTATTGGTTAGGAATTCAACAACACCGGCTACTTGTGCATTGTTCATTAGCTTTTGTTCTAGCTCTTCGCTCATAAATACACCGGGTACCCTTGTGATCACGTCTTGGTTGTTTACGATCCTTAGCACTTTTACGTTGTTGGCCTTTATACGTTCGGCGAATGCACGGTTCCCGACACGTGGTCCTCCGAATGAGAAAACCGCCACCGGAGGGACATCCGGGGCGCAAGTGCTAATCTCGTCTGCCACTAGTACGGCTAGGGCTGCACCAAGACTATGTCCGGTTATTGTAATGCTTAATGTTTCACCTTTGTATGTTTCTAGTAATCTTTTAATTTCTTGTACCACTGACTCGGCTAGACTTGGGGTGTGTTCTCCTTGGGTTCGGAATAAGCTAAGGAACCCACATTCGACCTTGGCTTCATCTTCTTCGGTTGCTTGATTGTTGGATTCTTCCATTGGGACGAGTAAGGCCCGGAAATTCTCGGCCCACTCGAGGCACGTGGCGGTTCCTCGAAGGGAGATGACAATGTCCCTCCTTCCCATCCTAGCAATTTCACGTTCATCTTGGCAAACTGCAACATAACCGACGCAGCTAGATCGCTGCGTCATCCAACTAAGATCTGGTGCCACATCGTCCACCCATTTAGGTAGTCCAATGGATGATGTGGCATACAGACTTTTGGTTACGTGATACGACTTATCAGGTAACCCCACCTCTCTCCACGACTTGATCCCCGCCTCTGTAGTGGCGGGGTCAGAGTGGAAGGTTTGGTATGCAGCTTGGATAAACTCCCCATACCTGACCATTTCTCGACGAAGATTCTCGTCGAGAGGGTCAAGTAACCCCGCCCAATCCCTACTCCCGTGGTACTCCCTCCACCGCGCTCCCAGGTGGTTCCGGGGGGAGTACTCGGGCTGCTGATTCAGTAACATCTGCTGGATCCGGGTCAGGCGACGAGGCGACATTTCAGCTGCCGCCTCGACAGCCCGGCCCGGTATCCCCCCGGGCCAAATTTGGGCCAGATTGAGCCCGTGCAATAACCCCCTATTGCGGTTGCTCTCAGATTGCTGCTCGCGGTCAATGGACTTCATTGGCCGCGGCGGCAATGGAGCTGCTTCCTTTTGTAGCAGCTTATCAAGGTTAGATAAATGATCTTTTGTCTTTTGATTACCACCCTTTTCTTGAACGTGAGCAGCCCGAGCCGACGCCCATAGTCGGCTCGGCCTCGACAACGAAGATTGTTGTGCACACCGTAACCCGGCACGTTTAAGGTTGTGAGATGGAAGCATAGATCCAAATTGAGCAATTTGCGCCATTTATTTTTCTTTAAAGATGGGAAAATAAAAGAAAGAGAGAATATTATGAAATTGGTTGTTAGTTTGGGTTGTTGAACTCTGAAGCGTCATTTGAATAAATCAGAGGGGGTATATATAGACCGCCAACCACTACATTCCACCAAATACCCTTAGATATTGTTTAATATTACAGAAAATGCCATGGTTTAGACTTTATTAGTGCGAAAACAATATAATATCAATCAAGGGTAAAATAGGAAATTGATAAATGAATAATTTAGACTATTTCATATTGCTAATTTGAAGAATATAGACGTGTAATCGCGTAAAGTGAACCGGAGACGAAAGAAAGAGCATTGAAGGTTGAAAGTCTGCTGGTTTAAAAATAATCCGGTTCATAAATTGACCAGAATTATCTGTTTGATTTTATTAAAATGACGGCTTTACCCTCTCTTGAGCTTATGACTTTGGTATTGACTACTGTTTTTAAGGGTTGTTTATTTTTTTATTTTTTTTTATTTTTTTGATAGGAGTTGGTTATTTATTATATGGATCAACAAGTATTATTATTAATATTAATATTATTAGTATTTTGTTTTTGTCAACATATTTTCTGATCCATTCCCACTGTATGGGATATGAGATGAGAGAAGAAAAATGTTGGTTTGAATAAATTCTGCCTTTTGTTTTATGTTCATATAATTTTAAGAAATTTTGCTACTGTTAATTAATTATGTCCTACTTGTAGTGTTTCATGTTGCTTATTATTTTTGTGATAAGATTTAATTTGGTATTTTTTTTTTTTTTTACTTATACCTTATTTTACCGAACAAATTAACATAACTATCATCATATCGCCAACCCACCTGAAAAAGATGGATATGACTTGGAATGAGTAAATGAATGAGGTTGATTTTCAAGAAATTAGGGTGAAAAGATGCGACATTTGATTAAGAAATAATTGGTTGTGATATTTACAAAATAATGCATACATCAAATCTAGTGTTGTCAATTTCCAGCTAACAATAAGGGGTCGTTTGGTTCGCGAGGGGTAATCGGAATGAAATAAACAAAGGGAAAGACAAGGAATGGAATGAAAATACCTAAAATTTTCTATGTTGTTTGGTCTTAAATACAAAGGGAATGAGGCCAGGGTCACCAGTCCCACCACCACACCACCACCTCAAACCTTCTCTCTCCACCTTTTCCAGCCACCAAACCACTCGCCGCACCTTCCTCCCCCTTCGCCGGTCATCCCCGCCCCTCGCACAGCTCTATCTCAACCCCGAAAAACCACCCTCAGCCCCGAATAAACCCTAGAAACTATTCTCCCTCGCCGTTTGAGGTGCGACAATCTCCGACGAGGGTTGGGGGAGGTGCGAAAAGGGTTGGGGGAGGTGCGAAAAGGGGCAGCGACGTACGATTTCGGTGCGAAAAGGGGCAGCGAACAAATCCGATTCCGGTGCAGGGGAGAGTCGGCGAGGGTCGGCGAGGGTTGGGGGAGGGGCGGCGAGGGTCGGGTAGGACGGTGGTTGGGTTTTTTGATGGTTGGGTAGGTATGAAGGTGGTGATGTGGTGGTGTGGTGGTGGTAGGGAATGAGAACGGAAATACCTAGGGGGTGGGGAATGGATGGGGGAAAGGGAATAAAAAAAAGGGCTAACAAACATCAACAAAGGGAATCAGGGTGGTTGATTCCCTTTCCCTTTGATGAATACCCCCAACCAAACGGCCCCTAAATGTGTTTCGCTTTAATTTTAATTTTGTAGCAATTAATCCATAAGCATATTGCATACATATACTCTACTTAAAATTCTTTATTTTAAAAAAAAATCTACTTAAAATTCTAATTTAATCGAATTTCTTTTTGTTTAATTTAGGGGCAAAACTCATAAAAGTCTTGCTCTAAATTCAGAACTAGTTTTTGAAATAATTAGTAAAAACTTTGAATTTTGAATGAGTTCATGTCTAGCTACAACTAAGTATCAATTCAAGTCAATACATTCAATAAGTAGTTATATACAAGTATGTTTTAAGCTAGCTGCATGTCTGACATTTGTTGGACATAAATTTGCTGCCAAAGAACAAGTTTATTGAAATATGATCCAAAAGAAACATAAATTGAGAACTTTTTTGATTAAAAATAGCGTCATTGATCATGTCAATGAGACAATATCACAAAATTTTGCATTTTCATCTTTGTTTTCTGTTTGAATTATTCTTTACTTATAATCTTAAAAAATTTACCAGTGTTAAAGGGAGTAAGAAATTTCGTTCAACAAAAAGCCCTACAAAATTTAGTTACCTTGAATCAATGAAATGTAATATTAAAAAATTATATTAAATCAACAAAATTTAGTCAAACAAAATATTTGTCCAAATTTATTTTTCTCCTATTTTTGAAGAGCTGCTAATAGAGGAATATTTTTCCACCTACCTTAAAAAGTAAGCACCAAAGGCCTTGCGCAGTAAAGTTCATTGGATTTCCTTAATTTAAAGGAAAAAATAAAATCGTATCTTTGAAAGTAAAAAGGGTTTTTTGAAGTAAAATTGTGACCGAAGAAGTCAATATTTGATGTGCATGATAGCGCACTATTCAAATTATTATCAACTAATTCTGATATTAATGTCAATTACGAGCATTTGATTTATTACCAAACTATATAAAATAATTACAATAAAAATAAAATTCCAAAAAATCTCATATGAAGTATGAACAAAGATAATTTTTGAAATATAATGCTAGATGTAACTTTATACAGTAATGGTAGAACGGGGCGAGGAAGTATTTTTTTTTTTTATTCCTATATAATGATATCCTTATATTTTTTTATAAAATAAGTTATAATGGTACAAAAATCATTATTTTAATAACCATCACAAATAAATCATATCAAAACTTAGGCTATGTTTATTTCACCTAATTTTTGTTGAACAGAAATTATTTTTAATGAACTGAATTTATTTTTGCTGAAATTAGAAATTAATTTTTTTTACTGAATTGAAATTATATACTGGACTGAAATTATATTTACTGATTTTCTATTATATTTCTCCTTTATAGAAACTGAATTATTATTTTTACTGAATTAAAATTAATTTTACCAAACTAAATTATTGTATTTTACTGAACTAAACTTATTTTTAATGATCATACTAAATATTATTTTTATAAGGTGAAGTGAATAAGGCCAATCTAGTAGTATTAAAGGTTTTACCTCATTGTTTTAAGGTTATGCAATCTAACCCCACGGAGGGGTACTTAAGGGATGAAGATTTCCTAAATTACTCCCTCCATTTCGTATTAATCATAACACTTTTTTTTTACATCCGTTTCATATTAATTGTAACAATTCTATATTTGAAAAGGACCCACCATTATTTATAATTTCTCCCTCCCACTAACCCCACTTTCAAAAATATTTTATTACGAAGTAATTCTCTTTCTTACTAAGAATACTAACCCCACTTATATTACTTTCTTTTATTAATATTATTTCTCTCTCTTACCAATAATACTTTATACTACGTATTATAAAAATTTCTCTTTTGGACCCTACCCTATAAATTTTCTTAAGTTTTGTGAACACCTTGATGTTACGATTAATACGAAACGGATAGAGTAATACGGAGTTTTTTTTATGAACCAAAAGACTTACAAAAAGTGTCAATAACTCAACGAGTGTTGAATATTTAAATATACATGTATATACAAAAAACACGTAAAATAGTATGACTTGAAATTGACAAAGACCGCAATTCGCGATAATAATTATAATAAATAATATAAACACAGTAGCTCGCTAGATAATTTGGACATACGTATTCTATAATAAGCATATACACGTACTGCCAATTGTTTTAGTATATGAAAATCTTCTGTCAGAAAGTTTTGTAATGTAATTTTCCTAACTACAAATTTGTTGGTAAGGTTTGTCTATAACCCTATCATAAAAAGAGCTTCAAACAAAATAACGTTCACAACATTTTATAATAAATTTATACCCTTTTTACACCATATATGTATGCTCTCAATTCAATTCAATGAAGATCAAGATCATGTATGTTTCTTTTGATCTGACTTCTATATTCAACAACATACACATATACCCTATAATTATAAGGCCCTTTCTCTTCACTTTAAATATAAATTAGTAAAAATAAACTTAAATTAATTGATGATTTCATCTTTAATAGAATTTTTTAAGGCCATATCTCTTCATTTTAAATAAATATTAGTAAAAACAAACTTAAATAATTGATGACTTCACATGATGACAATATATACTGGCAAATTATTAAATTTCAAAAGCTGTAATACTACCTTAAAAATCAATAGTAACTAGGTTATAGTCAATAATAATAATAAAAAAAAAATTTAAATTATATGAATTTAGTAAAACAAGCAATTTCATGTATGCTATCAATTACATATAACATATTAAAACGTAAATTATTATCTTATTTACTTCCTTCTTAACATTTAATTTGCTAAACTAAGTGAAATTTAAATTACTTTACTATTAGGAGGAATTACTATATATGTATGCTAAGATAATAATTTAATAAGGTCTAAGAATTTGAAGAACAAAAGCCCAATTATCTATTAATAGAAACAAGATCTTGTGTCAAGAGTAGACTAAGATCATGTTGCTGAATTGAAATTATTTTAACTAATTAAACTTAAATTATTTTTGCAAAACTTAAATTAATTTTACAGAAACGAATTTATTTTTATTGAATTGAAATTATTTTTACTGAACTAAAATTAATTTTGTTGAATTGAAATTATTTTTATTGATTATGTACAATATTTCTTCTTTATAGTTATCGTTTTTTTCTGAATTGAAATTATTTTACTGAACTGAACTCATTTTTATTGAAGTGAAATTGATTTAACTGAATATCATTTTTTTTTAAACGGGGTACGTAAACAGGGCCTAACAAATTTTCATCACTTAAAAACATTGTGGGGTATTATATTTCCAAGTTGATTCAACAAGTCATATTAATCGATATTACTGAAATTGACCATAAACAGGTCAGGTTTAAATTCAATTATAAATTGAACACTCTAGACAACGCGTCACCATGATGCACCTTCCTCCAACGCGATAGCCATGGTAGAT